TGACTAAGTTATCATTTTTTATGTAGATGTATTTTTCTAGATAAAAGCCAAAATATAAAAGTTTTTTTATAAATTTTAAATTGGCCATTAAGCAAACATTCCACTGTAATATGGTCTTTTGTGATGACCAAACTATCATTTTCTAAATTGATGTGGTTTTTCTAGATTCAACTTAATCCGATCAAATAAATACAATTAATCATATTAACATAAAATAGGGTTTAGATCTGACCTTTGATTGTTACATAGCAATAACAATCAATCCTTAGCTTCAGAAACCTTAGTGCCTCAAGTGTTGCACCTCTAATGGAGTCACAAACACCACTAAGCAACTTCGATGAAGAGGAAGGAAGAAGGAGGCACCAAAAACGGCTGGAAACCTTACTTAGCCACGTTTTTGGAGGCATAGGGAGCCTTTATATACATGTAGGCTATTAGGGTTTACAACTAGGAAACCCTAATCTAGCTACTTAAGCCCTAAGCAGCCCATGGACTCCTTTAACATATCCCCTAGACGAATTCTTAATGGGCTTACCAAAGAATTCGTCCAACCTATATATAATTAGGTAATCCATATCCCAATTATAATTATCTCATAATTACAATTCTAGTCCCCTAAGTTTAATTAATCTCTTTTAGCCACAAAATTGATTCTTAATTAATTATTGACTAATATTAATTAAACATTATGATTTCTCTTTTAATATATTATTCTCATAATATATTAATAAATCATAATTAAACCTTTCTCTCCTTAATTCATCCTACATATTGCTATGGTGAAGGCAACCCAAAAGGACCATGCTCATAATCAGGTCAAGTACATACCAAAATAGTTATGGACTTAGACACTAATCCAACAGCCTCCCACTTGGATAAGTCTAATAACTATTTCGTATAACTTCAGAACCTGATCAACAATCGTAGTTTTCAAAAGCCGCTGTCAAGTCTGATCTTATCAGATACGCGTGTCCTTTAGATAAAGGATCATATATTCCTCCATTCTCAAGATATCGTATAGACATAAGACATGAATTGTAATCATTCTCTCTATACTGTTTCCCGACATCCGATTTATGATGACTGACAACAGACTACTATTGAACACATCAACTTAGTCTCGGCTTGGCCAAGCGCTTAGGTGTCATCACTAAATCATCGAGGGGCCAACATATATCGCTTTTATCCTACTATGGATAAAAGGAATGGATAAACTTTGACTCAAATGCTCGTTTGTACTCACTTATCGAATCACACACACCAATAAGTTTTATAACACCAAGTTACTGGTGCGTTTGCTTATTATCAATGTGCAACCGACTAATAAATAAAACTCACACGTCTCGGTTTCAAGAATATACAATATTATCATCTCATTAATCACCCGTGATGAATCCATGAAGTGATCCAAGTGAGTGTGGGTTTAATCCAATACTCTAATCTTATCAAAGCACTCATGAACTTTGCAGCAAACTTGTGCTATGTCTAAACTATCTAGACAATCTATAGACTCTTCATGACAGTCTTCCTTGATACCTACTTCCAACGTATGACCGACTGTAGATGTTTGAATAACCTAGTTATTCTAGAAGTCAAAACATGCAAACTGAAACACAATAATAATACTTAATCCTATATGGCCCCAAACTTGTGAGAGTAAATAAAACACTTCTATTTTAACACCATATTGATTACTCATTATTCATCGTTTACTGTTTCAGAAAATCAACTTATTACTTCAAATTAAAACAATAGTTGTCCCATGCACAAAGCATGCACACTACGTTTCCTATGGTTCTTACTTTGTGAAATAGATCAATTGAAAAACTTTTCCAATGATGCTCATTTTAGAATTCCCAATCCTTATCATTAGTGTTAGAACACAAGGTTGTTGCCACTACTAGAATATGCTAGATTCTAACATTTTATGCAATGATCATTTCGCAAAGTCATAGCACAAAAGTCACCAAGACTTGACCAATGAAATTACAAAGTACTCTATCAGAAATTGTTATAAGACAATTCCATAGACGTGAAGTCCCACATTCAAAATACATTCATCTGAACATCCTTCTTGCATAAATTTTTTTCTAATCTAGACATACTCTCAATATTAGGGTTTACATGATCTTCACGTATGCCCTGCGTACGAGGTGTATACCCAGCATACTAAGGTACGCCCTAGTATGCTTAGCGTACACACGTAGGCTCATCGTACTCTCTAAAGTCTAAATTTACCAAAGTGCTACTATGGGAACCTTTTGCACTATTTCTTTTACTTAGGGACCAAAATGCAATATAATTCAATTATATGGTCAAAATTAGAAGTACCTCATCATTGGGATGTTACAGTTTAGTAAAATATAACTAGCAAAATCGTCATTTCTCAACAAAATTTTCATTAAGAAATGTCATATTCATAGAATTATTTGTGAAAATTATGGATGTAAGCACGGGCAAACATGACGAAAAAAATCCCACATGGGTTTTTGACACTCTTAGCAAAATAATATTTCTCAACGGTAGAATTTTTGCTGAGAAGTAATATGTACATAAATGTTGCCAAGGATAGGGGTTGGCTAAAAAGACACCCCATATTGCAATATGGACACCCTAAATAATTTTTTAAATATTTTTATTGGCTGAAATTTTATTGTTTTCCGAAAAAGCTGATTAAAAGCAGTTAATTATTGGTTGACTTTTTAAAAAGTGGTTAATAGGTGTTCAAGGGGTGTCTTATTAGCAACACCCCCAAGGATATCATATGTGTGAATTTGCTAAAAAAATTACTTTTGCATGTACAAAAAAATCCATATACTAATAAAAGAGTATCTCTTTTGTCATGTGTCATCATATTAGACATTTTAATTAATGTATTGCCACTTGTCAATCTATTAGTTTTCCATTTTAAATTTATTAGACCTTCTCATTAATGTGATTCTATTTTAAATTTTAAATTTTAAATTATTGTTTTCATTAACTCACAAATAAAAAATATCTAATATATATTAAAAATTAAATTTATATATTTATTTGAATCAATGATTATAATTTCACATAACTAATAAAAATATCTCTTAAATTAATAATTTATTTAAAATAACTTATTAATAGTAATTTTAATTTTTTATTATAAAAGTTTGATTAATTTTATAATCTATAATATTTAAATTATTTTGACACCCTAACCATTTACCATTGGGATTTCCAAGCGACCCATTTATGCACGTGGGACTCTTCCGTCCTTCCGCATACAACTTGGCAGTTGACTTGACTCTCTTATCTTCATTCAATCATAGAATTCTTTGCGAGTTTAGGCATTCCTTTCAAATGTGGGTTCAAGTAAAAATAATTGTACTTTTTTCTTAAATCCTATGAATAATATACCTAGAGTTTTATATAAACTTATGTTTGTTTGTCGGGCCACAACTATCATATAAATATATGCAATGTTGGACATGAGCTTTTGCCAACAAAGCCTTACACATAAAAGCTAATTATAAATTACACTTTATTCCATTACATGTCAAACTATACAAAAGCCATCTTCAACATCCACTGTCAAACTTTTATTTGTCAAGTTTCATCTTTATCGGATGCTTCCATGTACGGTGAATACGGTCTAATTTGACCCGATAAATCAAAATAAAATTGGCGAAAATTGATTTTTTGTCTTAAGAAAGCGGATTTTGTTTATAATGTGGTTTTTTGTTGTTGGGCTTTTTGGATCTACTTTCGCTCATTTCCTACACTAGTTTATAACCCGGTGTGTTACATGACACAAAATAATAATAATAATAATAATAATAATAATAATAATGATAACAACTTGTTAAAGAATATTTGTTTACTCATATTTTTGCAAACAATTATACGTAAAATATAACTTATTTATATTTATAAGTTTATCGCCGTCTTTCTTAATTATTATCTGAAATGGTTACAAAAATGAAATGATGTTATATAAATCATTATTAATAAGAAAAGTATAAGGATGTAATATATATGAAACATCTAGATTTGATATGCTAAATAGGAAAACAAAATTATACATGATAAAACAATATAAAAAAATGTTAAAAACATGTGTAGAACTTATATAGTATATACACTTTTGGATTTTCAATTATACAAATATAATTTTCTAAATTTTATCATCTCTTTAAATGAGAATATAACCCATGTTCTTTGAATCTCAATAATAATAATAATAATAATAATAATAATAATAATAATAATAATAATAAAATACTTGCTTAAAACAAAGAAGATATACAATTAATTATTTAAAGCTAAACGTTTTGTAAGTTTCAAAATTTATATGCTTGTGACATTTTGTTAAAGCAGTAATAAGTTAACTAACTGATAGATATGTTAGCACCAAATGCTTTAATTAATAAAATAAACTAATTATCATCAATTAAAAAAATAAAGAGAAAATGATAAAAATAACCATTTATACTGACTAGGGAAGAACCCCGCTTTGTGGGGTTAGACACGCCAAAAAAATCGAAAAGCAACAGAGCTTAGCCGAATCCATTTATGCACATTATGCAGTAAATCCTTCAAGAATTTCATTCAGTAAAAATCATTGCATAAATGATGTTCAAAAGACCTAGATACATGTCGGTTATGAAGAAAGTAATTCATAGAAGTTTATATATACACCTATCAATTGACTTGATGAGAAAAAAAAGGAAACATGTCCGTACATGATGCAGTTTCTAATCCATTCTCTCAATAAATATGTTTGCAATTATAGGGCCATTTTGGGAATCCTTCTTCTTTAGCAGACATTATAGCCTGTTAACCTTCAGTTGATGTCAAAAATCCATGGACCATTGAGGTTTAATCCAAACCTACTTCCAAAGGGACATTGAAATAACACATAGAAGGTCGGAAGCAGAAAAAAACAAAATCAGTCCATGTGATTCAAAATCAAGTATCAATACACATACCGAATTAAAATAAAATGGAGGAAGTAACACACCTCAAAAATCTTAAATTCTTTGACACGCATCAAATGTTCTTACATTCTTGGACTTGATGTGGCTAGCATCAAATGTGCTATTGGCTTCCATGCTCTCATCAGACCTTCCATTTGATAATAACTGCCAAAAATATATAACGATTTTATTGCAAATTGGCAAAAACAAAGCAAAATAAAGTTTGTACATAGTTATTATCAAAAGGAAAGTCTGATAAGAGAGTTCAAAAGTAAGCTTAGTTTTCCCTAATATGTTGAGAAAAATTTCTGTACAACAGATTGATAATGATTACTTCTATACCTTAATGAAGCAAGCTACAAATGTAGCGGAAAAGCTATTTGTGAATCCACTGAAGTCGTTGCTTCGTCCATGAACATCACCTGTTGTGTTTCAGCATCACCCACCAGTTATCCCCATTATCCACAACTACAGACAAAACCAATACATATATCTATATATATTCTATCGAGCATTTGCTTGTGTATTAACCAAGAAATTGGGCCTCTGGATCAGTTTTTCCAGTACCTGCAGAGTCTAGTTTACCAGATTTTGAAGCTATTACATAACTAAATTGGCATCGTTCAAGACTCTGCAAAAAAATGCAATGTATAAGGTTAATATTAAGATGGACATATAGAAGTTGTCATGAATGGTCCATAGAAAAATAGAAATTACATAGGTACCCTCCAAATCTCTTCATCAGAATGTTGGCTAATAGGGGCGATATTGCTTTTCAGAGTGCCTTCAAAAAGGATTGGTTCCTGAGGAATGATCCAAAACCGAGACCTGAGATCATGGAGTCCGAGGGTGGAGATGTTGATTCCATCAATGATTATGCTTCCACCAGAAGGCTCCACCAACCTCAACAAAACCTAAATTAGAGTTGATTTCCCACCTCCAAGTCTACCAACCACACCAATCTTTTCACCTTCTCTAATGCTCAGTGTTTTCTTCTTCCCAAAGCTCAGACTAACTGTATTCAGAAATGAATGTGTATAAATATCAATACAGACACTAAAAATTTACTATTTTCGTATTTAGCTACAGATAAATGAGCTTCATTTACATTATATTATTCTTAGTTCTTAGTTTTTACCTTAGAAATTTGCAAAATGTTAGGATTTAAATGGGAAATAAATTACCAGAGAGTTCCTTCATTGCTGATTGGTGATCCAATATTTCAGAATAAGATCTATTAAACATCCGAAATCGTGGACCTGGAGTAAGAATTATAGATATATAATTATATATCATATCTGTAGAGTTTGCAAATTACTGAAATCTATAAGATTAAAATTAGGGCTAGAAATCGTACAAATCAAGATATAGAGTATGGTTTAGAGAATGAAATCGAAAAACAAACCTATTGCAAGAAACACAACCGATTGAAAACAGAGAGGGGTTTAATCGATGAACCTGAGATGCTTTGTGATAACTATCTTTCCTGATGCATCGAAGCTTGAATGAAGAATGTTTGTTAACCCTTGTGGAAGAAAGGGGGATAATGGGATTATTTTTGAAGCTTTCGATCGATCTACCTGGGGCTCTTGTGAGAGTGAAAGTTCGCAGAGGAAGATGAGCTGGTAGCATTATCATATCCCAAACCACACATCTGGAAGGCAGCATTGCAATCATCATGATTAAACGGCTTCAGGAGGTTACGGACAACGGTGGAGAAGCAGTAGAGTTCGACATCTTTCTGTGGTCATGGTCAGGAAATCAAATTAGAAGAAGAATACGGTAGGTTTGTTGGCGGTGAAGGGAACAACTTCGAGGAGGGGTAGAAGATTGACGATGGATGGAGAAGTACCTTGGTGAGGTACTATGTGGAAGGAGGAAGAAGGAAGGAGTTGTTCGTCGTTTGAGAGGAGGCAAAGAAAATCGAGAAAGATAATGGAAGAAACCGGAGGCAGTGGGGAAGAGAAAGAGACGGTGAGTTGGTGACATCAATGATATTCAAATCAAAACACGTGTGGCTCTTCTCTATGCCAACACCATGTAGACAATAGAGACAGAGGTAAATGTACGTGTAATCCACTATCAGATATACATAAAAACATACAAATTAAAAAAGCAATGCAAAAAAGAAAAAAGGAATCAACAAATTGTCAAATAGCACCCAAAATACATTCCATTCGAAAATAGGAAGGACAGATAGAAAGCGAGGGGTATTAATAATTAAGGGACCATTTTTGTCAATCCCTTAGCCACTTTACTGTAGCTAAGGGTACACAATTTTAATATATTGTATAATTACATTATAAAAATAGCCAAAAAAATCGAAATTGCCAAAATAGCCCTCAATTTCACAGATGGAATTGCTCCATCTACGATTTCCACATTCCATCTGCGAATGTACAAGTGGCTAAAGCATAAGTGTGCTTTAGCAGCTTGTACATTCGCAGGTGGATTTTTTTAATTTTTTTCTCTATATATAAGGCATTTGAAGCTTAAAATCGCAGCTGGATTGTGTCCATCTGTGAAATTACTTATTTTTTTTCTAGTTTGACTGTGAAATCAATTGGTTTGACTACGAAATAATGTTACTATATAAAAAGTTTTTTTAGAAAATTATCAGTTTAGTTGTTATTTGTTCAAGAAATTTCTTTAAAATTCTCTCTAAAAAATGATTGAATATTTGGGTTGTCTTGTAACCGGTGGGAGATGGCAAGTTATTGGAACAAATCTGGAATACGTATGTCCACAGGGAGGTATTTCTGAATTTGCTTTGATATTTTCTGAGTATATTACTTATAGTGATTTTATATCTTTGGTGAGAAGCAAAATTGGTTTGTTAGACAAATATACAATTAGTCTTCGTTTCCATCATCTTGAATTAAATTATTATATAGCTATAGTTGAAGACATGGATGTTAGAATGTTGATAAATGTAATAAAATGTAGTGGAGGAAGGGCTGTGAAAGTGTTTCTGGTGGTTGATGATTTAGATGAGGTTAATGAAGGTGGTCACAGTGGAAATCAGCCGGTTGGAAATTTATGCAGTTATAAAGGAAGCAACGATCCGATAGGTACTTTCAATACTCCTAGTGTACCTCAGTTTCACAGTGTTGCTGAAAATGTTAATGTTAGTTATTCACCTATTAACTATGTGGATCCTAAGAATTACAAGTATGTTGGTGATGATGATGTTGGTACATATCTTAATGATGTGGGTGGTCATTGTGATGATGTTTCCGAACAAGAAGTTAAAGTTATGAATAGGCGTGTGGTAGATAAAAGTAAAAAAAAAAATCAGAGTCAAAAAATTGAAAAAAAAGCATGTTTACGGGGATTATGTTGATGTTGTTGATGTATGTTTAGATATAACTGACCTACAAACCAATTTAGATAGAGAAGACTTGGGTGATGAAGTTAAAGATAAGTTTCCCGATAACCTTTTGTACGGTATGCCCCCTATACCAGCATGCCCAGTTGATATTAATGAAGCTATCCCAACACAGATGGTAGACAAGAATCTTCAAAAGATTGAATGTGAGAGTATATTTAAGAACAAAGAACTTTTAAAACGGTGTATTGGTAAAAAGTGTCTTCGAGAAGGTTTTCAGACGAGGACAAGTAGATCCACCAAATCAAGGTTTGAGGTTGTGTGTGTTTCGAAAAATTGTTCTTGATTACTAAGAGCAAAAGCAATTAAAAATTCTGATGGACTTTTCTAAGTGAATAAATTTGTTGTTGTACATACTTGTTCCTCAACAATTTTGCAACCTAATCATCGACAAGCAAACGAATATGTTTTGGGTGAATATCTTGCTGATGTTTTGGATGAAGATTATAGTAGAGTTTATCGGGGAAAAGATATTGTTAATGATATGAATGCTCAATTGAATATCAATATCTCATACCATCAGGCATGGCGTGCGAAGCAATATGCATTGTTGTAGTTAAGGGGCACGAAAGAGGATTCTTTTACCAAACTTCCAGCTTATTTCCACAACTTGGCTAAACATAATACGGGTACTGTCACACATATTAAAACAGATGGTGATGATCGCTTTGAGTTTTTGTATGTTGCACTCGGTTGCTCGGTTAGTATTATAATATTTTATTAATTTTTTAATTTTTTTTTGTTGTATTTGAATAGATATACAATGTATTGTAGGTACGTGCTTTTGTCAAATTTTGTAAACCGACCCTAGTAGTAGACGGAGCCCATCTAAAGGGAGAGTTCAAAGGTACCATGTTACTTGCAGTGACTAAGGACGGACAAAACAAAATATTACCGGTTGCGTATGGTATATGCAAAAATGAATGTACCGATTCTTGGACATGGTTTTTTCAAAAACTACGTGATTGCATAGGAAATATGCAGGAGCTTACAATTATATCTGATAGGTCTCCATCTATAGCAACATCTGTTGCCAACATTTTTCCGCACGCTCATCATGGAATTTGTGGTGTCCATTTGTATTTCAACATAGTATCTAGATTCGGGAAGAGTAACACAGTTAAAGGAATTTTTTGGGAGGCTTGTAGGGCATACACAGTTGATGCTTTTGACGCTGCCATGGATGTTATGAAAAAGACAAAAGAACCAGTATGGGAGTACTTAAAAAGTATAAATCTAGAAAGTTGGTCAAGGCTACATTTTAAAGGGAACCGATACAATCTTATGTCGTCCAACAATGCGGAGTCTATAAATGCATTATCTAGACACGCGCGTAAGGTGCCAATACTTATGTTGATCGATTTTTTTCGTTCAACAATGCAACAATGGTGGTTTCAAAGACGTAACTTTGCAGGTATTAAGTAAATTTTAATATTAATGTTTTATTAATTTTGATGTTATTGATCTTAACTTCTTCATTTTGCCTGTTTATTTAGCGGAAGCAACAACAATACTTACCGCATTCCATCCCAAGGCGAGGATCCAATTAGAAAAGAGTGCTCTACATGTGGTCAAGTAGGACACACGAGAAACAATTGTACTGGAAGGGCGTCTAGTAGTGGAGCACGTCACACAATTTATACTGCAGAAAGGGCATTTAATATTGGTGGTTCAGCGAGTTGCTCACAAATGTATGACACTGATTTTGATATAAAACAACCTTGAAATGAAGAGCTGTTAACTTATTATGTATTGTAACAATTAATGAAGCTTTTTTATTATAATATTTAGTTTGCAGATTTTAACAACAATTACAACATGGTAATTAAAAAAAACAACACACGATCCTTTTGCAACCTAATCAGTATCACGATAATATTACAACAATTTTGTAACTAATTTTTAAACTCAGGGAACTGCAATGGGTATTTCTCTTTCTCCATTGTTATATAGTCATCCCTAATTCTCATTTTGTCTTCCAAACGATCCTTTTGCACCATAATGTGTATCAACTGCTCGTCCTTTTCAACAAGCCATTTTTCAGTGGTTTTGATTGCCTTCTTACTCTTTTTTATCCAATCTTCATGCTCTTTGATTTTGTTTTTATTGAGGTTTATCCATTGTTGAGCTTGTTTGCATTCCGATGCAATATCATTAGCACGTTCCGTGAGAAGTCGGGATGACTCTTTGTCCTCTTCTTGTTGTTCTTCAGCCTTCTTCAGTTCTTCAAAATTTTCATCTGACATATATGGACCGGCTGAAGAGGGTGTAAAAAAGGGGTCGACTAAATCACATTAGTAACAATCTACTTCGTTGCATGCGCAAACTTCGAATTTGTGTGAGGAACTCATAATAAGGTCGACATTATAATAAACTGGTGCTATAAGTGGTATTTATACATACTAGATAGTAATGACAAGTCCAACTTTGAAATGACTAGACAGTAATGACAAGTTACTGCAATAACCTGCAAATCGTACTGAAACTCTTAAGTGACAAGACATAAATGAATGTTCGACATGATAAGTCACTGCAGAAAGCTGATAATCGTAGTCCAAATGTAACCATTTCGTAGTCAAAGTTATAATTCATAGTCTTGTATTTATTTATATAAATAGATTTTTAAGATCTAAAAACCAAACACCCAAATCATAAAAAAGAAACGAACTCCCATATTTAGAAATATCGTTGAATGCAGCAAGTTCTTCGAATGAAGTACCTGGTTCCAATTCTGAAAAGCCATGTATGACAAACGAGGTGTTGGTTCTTACACGATGTTGGCTAAGTGTTAAGTATGGTGTATCGTTACTTGCTCCCCCACATTGCCTAGTTGGTGATGAATGGACTCGCATAACAGCTTTGTTCAACCATGAGATGGGACAAGGACAACAACGTGAAAAATCAGATGTTGTTACTAAATGGATGGATGTAAAGGAAGAAGTGAGATGGTTCAATCGAGCGTGTAATTATGCGAAAAGTAGCAAACTTCGTTTTCGGGACGAAGAAGAGTTTTTGGAAGTTGTAACAGATGTTTACATCTGTGAGCGTGACGGCAGAGACTTCGGATATGAGGAAGTTTGGAAGGTTGTAAAAAATAATCAATATTTCATGTAGACCGCTCTAGTTTCCGTTAATAATAACCTATGGACTTGTGTTTTATTTTAATGCTTTGTTTGTAGTATGTCCTTGTTTTTCATGTAATTGTTGTAATGTTTGTAATGGTTCATGGAATTCTTGTTAGTAATGTATTCTAATGTATTGTCAAAACTAATGCAATGGGCATTTATTAATAGAAATTAAACATAGGAGATGCATCCAATACATACGAAATACATGAAAATAATGCAATAGACATTTATTAATACAAATTAAGCATAGGAGATGCATCCAATACGTACGAAATACATGAAAATAAAGGTGAACTCACATAATAAACTGAAATAGATTGAAATTGTTTCACCTTAGCAATATAAATAACTAATACATAATACCACATAAATGTGAACTCACATAATACGACATAAAATATAAAGGGGCTACATGAATAAACTGAAATGGTAGCCCCTTTATATTTTAAACATAGGAGATGCATCCAATACAT